ACTGTGTGACTAATGTAAAAATGTACCTTTTAAAAATCCCTCTAAACTTCAGTTCAGGGCTGCTTACTTCCAAGACTTTCTTGGAGGAACAGTTGCCGGCTGGCCAATAAAAACCCCCTTTTAAATTCTCAGTTGGGTGTTCTGGTTCTTTTTCTGTGTGGCAGCCTCACAACAGGACTAATAAGATGTCCTCTGAATTGGACTCTACAATTTCAGACTGCTTTTCTGTCCCCCAGTACCACTTTCTCTACCAGAAAACGATCATTTTACAAAATCAGTAGAATGGCAGAAGCCAGAATAATTTTTATAAAGCTCAAACTCTTCAGTGGCTCCTGGTGACCTGTAGGCTAGCATTCAAAGCCCTCTACAATCTCTTTCTGGGCTATCTTTTCAGCCATGGCTCCCTACTTCTTCTCTTTCTCTTCTCTGCAACCCCACCTTTACACACACACACACACACGCACCATCTAAACACATAGCTCTAAGCTCTCATTACACTGCTCTTTCATCTGTGCCCTTACTCATTTACTCCACAAATCCTAACTGAGCATCTACTATCTTCCAGGCGCTGTTCCCCAGGCACCTCACCTCTCTGTACATCTTACAAGTTGGGTTATATTTATTCCTCCCACTAAATGATGAGCACATGACGCCAGGAATTTCTTTCTTCCATAACAATTAGCTCACCCCTTATGTATTAGGATATAATTAATAATTATTCATGGACTCAAAAGCTGTGTCATTACCTCTTTGTAGGTGAGTCCAGGAGCTCAGGTGGGGGGAAAGATTTAACACTAGAGGGGTGTGCAAGCAAGGAGTATGTTGAGAACCCAGTGGCGTCTCATAGAGATTTTTATAACCCAAATAAAAAAGAGAGGGGAGGAAGGGATGAGAAAAGGAAGAATAAGTGATAGGAAGATACTAACTTTAAAATCTAACAAAATGACCCTGTGTTTCTAAGTTATCTATCTACTCAGATAGACCCATCTTCCCAAAGAAAAAAGAAAGATGAGATGACGGAAGAAAGAAAATTATGCTTTCTGTGTGTTATCTCAGTCACTCATCCCAACAACACCAGAAGGTAGATGTTACTATTCCCACTTAAAAGATAAAGAAATTGAGGTGCAAGGATATGAAACAACCTGCCTGATGTCGTACAGTGAGATGTTAGAAAAATTATGATTCCAACCCAGTCTGTCTGACTCCAACATCAATCTTGTTTCCTATACACTGACTGATGACTAAAGAAATTAAAAACTGAAACCTCTCTTTGGCTGCTTCTATCCTTCAACTCCCATTCATGACCTTACTCAACAGTTTTTATGAATGCTTTCTCAAACTCCCTATGCCATGGTCCCCATGGGTCCCTTTCAAGCAGCTCAGCTCTGACAAAGTACTCAGGCACCAGAATAGGAGCTTTCTATGTGAATGTGCTATATCATAATTTTCTCTGCTTCTTATTTCACTTGAGCAAGGGAAGAGATTTGAAAATATGCGGATTCTTCTTGGCATTACCTTCAGCAACCAACATTACTCTTTCAACTCCTCACCACTGTTTACTCAAGAGCAATGACATGCCCAGAGATATTCAGTGACTGGTGACAAAGTTACTAGACATCTAGATTTCCTGATGTATTTTTTCTTCCTTTCATCCTGTCCTTTTCATGTTAAGAGAGAAAGATTTGTTGTTCAGAGGCCTCCCCCAAAATAGCAAACAGTAATTCTTTTGGGAAATTCAGGCAGTGATTAAAAGAAGTTTCTCTTTTCTGGTATCCTTTCCTGTGCCTGTTCCTACACCTCCATTGCCCCTTCACTAGTTCTTGACTCTCCTACCCACTCTTTGCCCATTATTCTTCATTATTTGGTTTAGGGTGAGTCAATTTTAATAGAGTATTTTGTGGTGTTTGTCATCTGTTCCTTCCTTCCCACCTTATTGAGGCCATGTTCTTTTGACAAGTGTTTGCTGAGCTTCTACTACATGCCAGGCTCTGTGCCAACAGCTGATCCTTATTTCACTTCTGGCAATCACAATAGCTTCCAAATGGCTCTCCCTACCTTATGTTTTCCCCAGAATCCATCTACTGCATCCTGCTGCCAAATCAATCCTTCTAAATCTCTGCTTTGTAAACAGCACTCCCCACCCATATGCCCACATGATTAAGTCCCTACTTACTAGCTCTCTCCTATCTGCCCTCTACATGCCTTTTAGACTTTTTTTCTTCCTATACATATGTTCTACAGTCTAGTGTGTTCTCATCATTTGCTCCCCAACATGCCATGTACATTTCCACCTCTGTGTCTTATTGCTCTTTGAATTTCCAAATCCTCCATGTTCACTTAATAAATGTTGTGCGGCAAACTCCATCCCTGGGGCAGCAGAGGATGCTACCCAACTAAAAGGTTCTAGTTAAGGAGGAGAATTGACCTAAAACTCATCCCTAAGAGGAGAATGAATGTTCCAGAGTTAGGGATGAGAAGCAATATTAACCATGTCTGTGTCTAGAGTGGTCCATCAACCTGAGCAACCTCAGGCCCTTGACTCAAACAAGGTGTGACTGGGAAATGAGTTTCTAAGGCAACCTTGCTGAATCCTGGGATAAGAAACACAATCAACTCACTCTTCTGTTCACTCAGTCATTCAACAAAATAGTTCTGGGGCATCACCTATGTTTTAGGAATTGTAATGAATGCTTGGGAGGCAACAGTGAGTAAGAGAAACAGGTTCCTGCCCTCATGGAGCTTTTAGCCTAGTAGAAAGGACACATTAAACACATCGACAAGTGCAACAAGTGAGTAAATAAAAGAATAAAAAAATGTAAAAAATGTGGGATAAGTGTTAACAAGAAGAGAAATAAAGTGTTATGATGCAGCAGGGTAGGATATGCCACTGCACATAGGAGGCGATATCAGTCAAAGAAGTTTTCTCCGAAGAGACATTTACGCTGAGATCCAAAATATGAGAAGAAGCTAAACACTTGAAGTGACATCTCAAGCTCTTTAACAGCAAGTGCAGAGACTCAGCACACACACACACACACACACACACACACACACACACACACACTCTCTCTCTCTCTCTCTCTCTCTCTCTCTCACACACACACACACATGTCAAGACCAATGCAGACCAATGCAGGCAATAACCTCACTGGCTTGTGTCTTATGTATAATTCATTTGTCCAATGGGTATGTGGCAGCCAGACCCTTCTATCATAACCAAAACAGCTTCTCTTTTGAGTATACAAATAGATAAGCATTTCGGTTTGTGGATCTCTAAAATGACTGGGATTTAAATCCCATCTATATATTTTTTCTACTTTGTTCTGCTAGCAGAGCTATTTATTTCTAACTCAAATCTACATATTTCTAGAATCCAATATAGCACTCCAGTGATACTCATTCTGTATATTGAAAATAATATTTGCAATCAACTCTTAAGAAAATCAAGAAATTGTTTTCCATACCTCGTTGATTAACTGGATCTTTAGCTACGTAGGCAACATAGTCTGTAGTATCCTATAAAAAAGGGAAAATGATTGCATTTAAAATGAATGAATTGCACTGCTGACAGATAAGAGTACATTTAGGACATGATACTGAGGCAAGAACTTAAATATGAATGTTTCTGGTTTTTTGTTTTTGTTTTTTTTTTTGTCTTTTTCCGCGTCCAGCAACGGATCGCAACCCTCAGTGTTGCCCCCGTACCGGACCGGGGACCGGCAACGGGATCGCAACCCTCGGTGTTGCTCCCGCGCCTCGCTCAGCCAGTGAGCGGGAACCGGTCTGTATGTGGGATCTGAACCCTCGGGCGGGAGCGCCGAGCGCGGCACACTTATCCAGTGCGCCACGGGGCCGGCCCTGAATGTTTCTGTTTAAAGAGAAAAGGAAAGCTTTGTAGGAGGGAACATAAACAATATACTTTAACAATTGTGAAGACCCATTCTCTGCCCTTTGGGGAAAGAATAGGAAGATTAAAAATTTAGAAGCAGACCGCGTCATTAAGAATAAAAGAGAATCCAGATAGGGAATATGTTAGGGATATTATTTTAAAATGGCTAGAGACTATGACTCCTGTGTTGAAAGTTAAAATATCAGAGATTATACAATCACAAAGGTGTGATAAACTAGGATGTGGCAAGACGATTCTCCTGTTGTCAAAAAGATACCATGTACGTCAGAAAATAAGTTGACTGAAGAGGCATGTTGGGTTTGTAGTTGTTAACTTGCTTGTGTACAGTGAAAGTTAACTTAAGAAATAATAATGCAAAAATACAAGGCATTTATTTGATCAATATAAAGAAACGAAAAATCATTTTAAAAAAGAGAACCCATGAAAAACTAAAGAAGTTCAAAAAATGATGCACTTCTGATTTTGTAAAAACAAACAAAAAAAACCACTTGGTACTTTTATCTTTTATTGAAAACAGTAAGCTGATGAATGATAAGATTTTAATAATTAAATATGCCTTTTGTTATCTCAGTTCTCAGGGAAAAAAAAGTACACACAATGCCATTTGCAGATTAGAAGTATGACTCTCTAGAGGGAAGATGCAATCAACTGGCAGGAAATAAAAGCCCACGTTTGTAATACCCTCAAGGACAATCACTTAACAACCCACAATGAATCATACAGGAAGCAGATCTCAGGGTCAGCATAACTTGTCCTGGGTTATTTTAAAAAACACACATCTAAGTAAATTTCTCTTATGCAAAAAGAAAAAAGGTTTGAAATATCTTCTAAGTAAATAAGGTTGTATCTACGAGCTTTGTTTCATATTAACTTAGAAGAAAAGCCACAATTGCTAGGTACTTTACCACTCATTAAAGCTGAAGAGGTAGTATGATGCCAGCAATGCTATCTGACATATTAGATGATGGCAAAGAGGCAATGGGACCTCTCCAGACCTCAATTTCCTCAAATTCAAAACAGTCTCCAACATTCTCATACAGGAGTTCTAAAATTCAATGACTGCAAACATCTGGGAGAATTTATAGAATGCTAAAAGTAAAACACAAATGGTAGGGGGAAATATTTTTAATATATATATATTATTTTTGTGACTCGTCAGTAGGGAATGACCTTGACCTTGATGTTATAACACCATGCTCTAACCAACTGAGCTGACTGGCCAGCTAAAATACATTTAATTTTTGACATACAATGCATATTTTAAATGGACAAAGCATATATAGCTATATAGAAGCATTACCAAGAACTGTCTTCAGGGCTGATAGAAGAAAGACAAACTATTTCTGAGAAGAGAATAAAGGTAAGGGTGAGCAAAGGCCTGGAGGTGAGGAAGAATACTCAGTATTTAAAAATTTTTGGAGGAAATCTGATAGAAAGAAGATTACGACGTTGGGCCACAGAGACTTTTAACTCAGCTTCCCACGCGTTAGCTGTGAAGTTGTTACTTATCTCAGTGAATATCCTAAAACAAATATGGACGTGTGTTGCCTCTTTTGACTGTGCTAGGCATTGGGCTAGTATTTTATATGCATCATTTCATTTAATTCTCACAATTAAATGTGGAGCAATAGGGATCATCCTCCCATTTTACAGATGAGGACCTTGAAGCTTATAGAGATTAAGTAAGTCTACTTGACTCCAAAGCCTGGCACTACACCATACTGCCTCCCTGACCTGAGGGTAAAACTTCACTGAGGGGATTGCTAATGCCAAAGCTTAGGGTGGCTCCAGATTTCTATTTTAAATCCAAATCAATAGGCTTTCTCAGCTGCAGACAGCATGGGGTCCTACTCAATTCAGCAGGTACAAACTTTCCCACAGTGGCTACAAATTCTTTACTGTTTGTTGTTGGTAGGGGCAGTGCTTTGGTGAGTTGAAAGAATTAAACAACCAAAGGCACATGAGACTGTATGAAAAGAATTAAGATTCTGGAGAACTAACAGAGATCATGCAGGGCATGCCCAGGGTAAATGAGGGCTTATGAACGAATTCTAAAATAATAGCAACCCTTGAAACTTGAAAAGGAAAATTTAGGGCAAACACCAATAATTCTCACACTACACTTACAGATCACCACCTTAAATCTCTTAAGAAAAGTATTTGAGTTCTTTCACAGATGACCGAGCTATGATGGATTCGGAAAAGAGAGGTTGGTGTTTTTCAGCCTGAATTCAGTCAACCCTCTCTGCTACCCAACACTTGGTGTCACCATTGATGCCAGATTACAAGGCTGAATGGTTCAGAATCCAGATCCACTATTGGGTTCACACAGCAGCTGATAAGCATCAGCCACCTTGCATGTCCCTTGTTGGCTAATTGTGAATCCACAATTAGCCATCTGTGGAGTTTCTTGGGGAAAAGGTGGAACTCTTAAAATATGGTTTAAATAGTGCCATCATGGAAATAATACAGTCATTTGAAAATAACTACACCCGAGGGTGAAAGGTGAGGAAGTAGTGAAGATCCAAAATATGAGAAGGGAAAATTGAGTATCCATTAATGAAAGAAACAAACAATGATTTGAAATCCTGTAAAGGCTGCTTTTCTGACACAGGCTTCAACAAAGTTCTAAAGGTAAGTAGTCTCGGTTTGACAGGCTTAAATATTTTGAGTCAATGGTAGCTTAATGTGAAGATGAGTAATTATTGAAGTGTTTTTAAGAATATGCTAATTTAAATAGAATCTAGCTATATATGAGGGTACTTCAAAAAATTAATGGAAAAACAGAATTAAAAGATAATATGAATCTTTCCAAGAACTTTTTGAAGTACCCTTGTATTTTACACATAAGAAAGTTACACCAAAACTCAATAGGAATCATTAATTGGAGGAACTTGCTTAAATACTTTAGATGCCAGTGAATGAAGCAACAATTATAGAGTAACTTCGGAACTTTGTTTCCTTTTAGGATACACAATTAAAACCGGCCGGTGGCTCACTTGGGAGAGTGTGGTGCTGATAACACCAAGGCCACGGGTTCAGATCCATATATAGGGATGGCCGGTTAGCTCACTTGGGAGAGTGTAGTGCTGACAACAAGTCAAGGGTTAAGATCCCCTTACCGGTCATCTTTAAAAAAAAAAAAAAAGAAGAAGAAGAATTTAGCATACAGTTTAAAACAAATCAAAACTTTGCAGTTTTCATACCAGCTGCCAGATTTAGTTTTTACCACCCTCCATACCTCTCTTGGGTTTCCGGGTTATGTGTCTTATCATTTATTATCCTAAATTTTATTCCTGAATTAGAGTGAAGAAACAATGTGGTGAACAGAAAAAATCAACTATTAAACTGGTAGATTTTGTGGTCTTATTTCTGAAGGATATAATCTTTAATAAGAAATTCTTTTCAGAAAAGAAGGTAATACATTCTGGGCAAGAACAAAGTCTGCATATGTTCCCCGTATGTTTTCTTGACGTTACTGATATTAAGCCATTATGAAAGTTGACGCTGCCCTCTTCTAGCCTTGCATATATTTACACAAGAAAAAGACCCATAATGTCACAGAGAAGCAAAATCGTCCTTCCACTCCCTCAGTTTAAACAGGTTTGTTTCTTGTTCAACCCCTCCCTTCAATGCCCCTCACCTTCTGCCCTGGTCCAGAAATGATACAGCTGGGAGTCACAGAATGACACTCTATTCTGCAAAGTAGGCTTGGAGAAAGTCCTGCACAATTTGCGGAAAATGAACACCACCTGGCCTCTTAGTGGAGCGCAACTATACAAGTTCTCTCTCCCCAGCTGAGCATTCCCTCCATGAGTTTCTGTGAACCTGGTTGCTCATTCTAGATTAGACTTAGTTGCTGCCTTAGTTGACAGCTATGAAGCCCTCGTATACCAAATCCAATTGACTAGTAGGGTCTGCCTAGAACTCAGTGCTGAGAAGAATTCTGAGGGAGGACTGGCAGCATATGTATCCCATGCCTGCTTTTCCTGACTTAGACACTATCTGCAAGAAGTTTAACAGATGATAACTCTATGGCTAATAACACAGTGGAGTACCATTAGCTTCTCTACTAATCCAAATATTTTTAAATTCACTGACAGGAAATATTCTTCCCAAACCAAACTTTTGATTACCTGCTACATGTAATTAAGATATTTAACCACAAATTGTAATAAGATATATGGAAAAGACATGCAGTGGCTAATATGCTTTCCACGGAAGTTCTCTTCTCTCATAAAAATGACTTTTATAAGTTCATACTTACAGGATCCCCTCCAGAGGCAAATGAAATAGACTGCATATGATGATTTGCAATAATCTGAAAAATATGAACAAAATAATCAAGTATGGTGCTATAAATTAATTATTATTCCTAGTTATATACATTCTAACCATAATGGGCATACATTTGTTTGTTTTATTTTTGCCTTCTCAGCATCCCTTTGAAAACCGCCCCACCCACATTCCGTAAAATGAAACCATGAGGTTCAGGTGGATTTGACATGCCCATCTCACTTCCCCTCTCTACCCAGATGGCACATGATCCAGGTCTAGCCAATCAGGAATTACCATCTCTGTGGATACAAGAGAGCCTATCAATGTCTTTTGGGAGGAACTGAGATGGATAATAAGAGAGAAAGCATCCTCTCTGCCATTAAAGACCATGTAAGCCCAAAGCTTCTGGGGCCCTCACTTGCTGTCATATGGAAAAAGCCTGCCAGAATATGAAACTTCCCCTCAAGAAAATCAGAGTTGAGAGTTAAAAATAGAAAAAAGTCCAGGAGCAACATTTGTTCCATCACTTTAACCAACACATTTCCCTCCTCCTTTTATATTTTTATTTCTTCTATTTATTTGTTTATTTTTGCACAAGTTAGTTTAACTTCAGTTTCAGTCATTCACCACCAAAAGTATCCTGATGAAAGCATTAATGTTAAGATTTCCAATAAAAATTAAGAATAGCCAAGTGAACTGCATTAATTTTCCTTTTATATTTTTATTTCTTCTATTTATTTGTTTATTTTTGCACAAGTTAGTTTAACTTTAGTTTCAGTCATTCACCACCAAAAGTATCCTGACGAAAGCATTAATGTTAAGATTTCCAATAAAAATTAAGAATAGCCAAGTGAACTGCATTAATTAACCAAGAAGATTGTCTCTTTTACTTGCTATTCTAGAATTGTTTGGAAACCACAGTGCAATGACCAATTCACAGAGATATTATCTGTCATACAGTTTTGAAGGTTCATTAAACACCAACATTGCACCTTCTGACTAATTCTGTTTTCAGAATTGTGTGACAGAATCTAGTAAAGCTGCTTATATAAGATGACTGATACACAAACAATTCTACTCCTAGATATATATCCAACAGAATTGTGTAAATATGTACTACAAAAGATATTCTCAAGAAAGATAATTGCCCTATTCATTATTATCATTCAAAGATAATAACAGCCCTACACTGGAAACAATCCCAATGATGACAACTGTCATAGTCAAACAGAACTACTATGTAGCAACAGCATGTTTGTTGAGGAAAAGAAGCCAAACACAAAGAATATATACTGCATGGTTTAATTTTTATAAAGTGCAAAAACAGGCAAAATTACTTTATTGTGTTTGAAGTCAGGAGAGTGGTCACTTCTTGGTCATGGGAAGAGGGAGCAAGTAGTTTTCGGGGATGCTGCAAGCAGTATTTCCTGATCTGGGTAGTGGTTATACAACTATGTTCATTTTGTGACAATCAAGCTACATACTTCTTATTTGTGTAGTTTTCTATATTTATACTTTAGTAAAAACAAAATCAACATATAAAGATCAATGTCATTCCCATATATCAGCAATAGCCAATTAGACACTGTATTCGTGGGGATGGGGGGAGGGAAAGGTACATTTTACAAGAGTACCTAAGTATGATACTAATAAGAATCATGTAAGGCTTTCTGGAAAATGTCACTGAAGGGTATAAATAAGACCTGAACAGGTAGAAAGATATATATCACCTTTATGGATGAGAAGACAACACTATAAAGATGTCAATTCTCCCTCAAATTAATCTATAAATTCCATGCAATTCCAATAAAAATGCTACCAATGTCATTCATGGAACTTCTCAAGCTGCTTCTAAAATTCATATGGAGGAATAAATGTGCAAAAAGAGCTGAAGCAATTTTTCAAAAAACAAATGACAAGACTTCTTTTATCAGCTAGAAAGACATAACATAAACAATTATTCAAGCTGCTTTTAGAATTCATACAGAGAATAAATGTGCAAGAAGAGCTAAGGCAATTGTTTAAAGAACAAAGACAAGATTTTCCTTATTACATAGCATGATATATTATAAAACTATAGAACTCCGTAAGAATACAAAGCCTAAAAACAGACTCATGTATTTGTGATCTTTTAGTCTGTGATAAATGTGGCATCAAACAGCAGACAGAAGTACAGACAATTAAGTTAGTAGAGTTGGCTGACTTAGCTATCTATATGGAAAACTATATATAAACAAATTCTGTCCTCATACTATTTGTATAAATAAGTGTTCGATCTATAAAAGACCTATGAAAACACTAGAAGGCAGATAAAAGATTATACTTGTGTTCTTTGAGTTCAGAAAATCCATCTTAATATAAAGAAAAAGACGTACAGAAAAAAATTTAAATTTGATTACATGAGAACTAATTTTTTTTTAAAGAATGACCAGTAAGATTCTCATATCTGACAAAATAGACTTTAAACTAAAAACCATAAAAAGAGATAAAAAAAATTTAAATTTGATTACATGAGAACTAATTTTTTTTTTAAAGACTGACCAGTAAGATTCTCATATCTGACAAAATAGACTTTAAACTAAAAACCATAAAAAGAGATAATGAGGGTCACTACATAATGATAAAAGGACTGATGCATCAAGAAGACATAACAATCATAAATATGTATGCACCCAATGTTGGAGCAGCCAGATTTATAAAACAAACTCTATTAGACCTAAAGAAGGAAATAGACACTAATACCATAATAGCAGGGGACCTGAACACCCCACTGTCAATACTGGACAGATCATCTAGGCAAAGAATCAACAGAGAAACACAAGATCTTAACAATACTCTAGACCAATTGGACTTGGCAGATATCTACAGAACATTCCATCCAACAACCTCAGAATATTCATTCTTCTCATCAGCACATGGATCATTCTCCAGAATAGATCACATATTAGGACACAAATCAAGTCTCAACAAATTCAAAAAAATTGGAATTATCCCATGTATTTTCTCAGACCACAATGGATTAAAACTAGAAATCAATAATAAACAAAACCCTGAAAAGTATACAAACACATGGAAATTAAACAACATTCTACTTAACAATACATGAGTCCAAGAAGAAATCAAGCAGGAAATAAAAAAAATTATTGAAACCAATGAAAATAATGATACATCATACCAAAACTTGTGGGATACAGCAAAGGCAGTACTAAGGGGGAAATTTATTGCATTAAACGCCTACCTCAAAAAAATGGAAAGCTGGCAAGTGAACAATCTAATAAAGCGCCTTAAAGAACTAGAAAAACAAGAACAATCCAAACCTAAAGTTAGCAGAAGGAAAGAAATCATCAAGATCAGAGCAGAACTTAACGAAATTGAAACCCAAAAAACAATACAAAAGATCAACAAATCAAAAAGTTGGTTTTTTGAAAAGATAAACAAAATCGACAAACCACTTGCATGGCTAACAAAAAAAAGAAGAGAGAAGATTCAAATAACAAAAATTAGAAATGAAAAAGGTGATATTACAACTGACCCAAATGAAATACAAGGAATCATCCAAGACTACTATAAACAGCTATACACCAACAAGTTCGAAAACCTGGAGGAAATGGATAAATTCCTGGACTCACACAAGCTTCCAAAATTAAACCAAAAAGATATAGAAAACCTGAATAGGCCAATAACAATAAAGGAGATTGAAGATGTTATCAAAAAGCTCCCAAAAAAGAAAAGCCCGGGACCAGATGGATTCACAGCAGAATTTTACCAAACATTCAAAGAAGAAATGACACCGATTCTATACAAACTATTCCAAAAGATTGAAACAGAAGCAAAGCTTCCAAACACATTCTACGAAGCAAACATCATCCTGATACCAAAACCAGATAAAGATATAACCAAGAAAGAAAACTACAAAGCCATTTTCTTTGAGTTATAGGGAGATCTGACATGCCGGGCAGAACATTCCTGAAAAACAGTGTGTTACCAACCCCTCACCATTAGGCTGTTATAGTAGGTCTATGAAGTGCATGTCATATTATTTAAATTATTAAAAAGTATTAGAAATTATTTCAGATATGCAAAAAAATAAG